GCCATTTAGTGAGATAAGCCTACTCCTCAACTGAATTAGAAAAAAAGCTCTTTATCTTCAGTGATGCAAAGACAACGTTTGAGCGTGTACACGCAATATCTGAGCGAGAGCAGAGCCAATTCATAAAAGAACAATATTTAAAAGCACACGTCCAGCAGATGGATCACGTAACATTATGCGCTCTCGACATTGTCATTAAGATCACACTATAGAAACCGCCTAAAATTTGAAATTTACTAAAAACAAGCCTATGGCAAGACATCTGGTAGGGGGGGCACCTGGGGTGGCCAGCCAAATTTCAGGGGGGGCCGGTGCCACCCCTGGCCACCGCGTAGACACGCCACTGGGTACTGCATGCCTATTTACATTTTGAAGCCCTCACAGAACAGGAGTACACGTATTCATGTGTCACCTGTGGTGATTACCCCCCTGTTGTGATAATGGATTTACACAAGAAGGGTGTTTTCCAGTTTTCTGGTATGTGTATTGTAAACAGTTTTACTTTCAAGTTACTTTTTAAATGTTCTTTTGAGGGGTCGTTATTGTCATTGTGGAATATGCTTTTTTTATAGTAAGTGACATAGAAGAACCTCCAGAGAGCTTTCAAGGGGAGGTGAATCTAGAAACGTTCTGGGAGGCTTTGTCCAAAGAGATGATATGCCGTGGATTTGTTACAAGTATGTGCAAACATACAGTGTTTAATACACTATGTTGCAAAGAAAGCAAAGTAATGCAACACCTGTTTTTAATGCTGCTGTTTTAGGTGGTGCACATAATCCATTTGCAGTTCCACCTACTTATCACTTCTGGGCTCCTTGGATTGGCAAGAACACACGTCGTTCGGACACTGTGCTAAACACAGAGTTTGAAAAACGTCATGCTTCAAAGTTTTCATCAGAGATCTCAGAAATTACAGTTACCGAGGAGAGGCTCAAGGAAGAACTTCGCAAACAAAAGGTTGGTTAATTGAACCTTTATTTGGTTAAATGATATTTTACAATGCATGCTATATACAGTAATATTTTTTTTGATAGGTAAATGTCATTAGGAGATTGTGCAAAGAATGTGGTTTAGACTCCACCGGATCTCGCAATGACCTCCTCCTCAGATTGTCAAAAGAAATGAAATCCAGGCAGACATATGATAAAATCTTTGAGAAAATTTGGGGAGCCTCTATTAAGCTTAAATTCTAATTCTGTTTGAAATTGCCAATATATGACATTTTTATACAATTTATGATATTACCAATACATTATATTTTAAACCATTTTTAGTATGTTGTATATTTGTTTTTTATTTAATGATATTTTGAATGTAATTTTGAATCTTCTGCCTTGAGTCCTGTCTTCTTTCCTGTATTAGGAGGATGGGGGTGATCATGTGCCCATGTGGAATAGTCTATAGTCTAAAGTGCAATCTTCGAGCTGAGAGCCCTCGAGACTTTGCAGACTTGCTGTTATCATGGAAACACATGCCTAACGTAATAATTTATGACTTTGAGCAGGGGCTCGCAACACACACTAATCTAAGGGTACCAGAAAATATTCCCATTCATCCATATGAAGGACACCTAGCGGAACCCACTGAAGAGAACATAGAACTGGCAAAATCTGGGAAACTGAAAGTGTCTTTGCCTTGGCTGGAGGAAAAATTAAGAATGACAGATCCTCATGGGCACCCAGTGACAGGTTCTTCTGATCATTACTTATTGTCTGACCGTTTTCATGAAAGCAACACCAAAGACCATAGAGATGTTCTGAGGAAGATCACTATAGTGCCTCATCTAGCTGGCAAAATAAACAGCCAGGTTGCAGAACAACTGTTCTCAAAGATGAGGAAAAACAACTATTTTTTAAACATGTCTCGGCCTTCTACTCATTTGTTTCAAATGAGAACCCTAATTCACCACTACAATGAAAAAAGGAACAATAAAGTGATGACCAAATTAAGGAAGACTTTTAGATCTAAGATGGTGGTGAATATGCATGGACAAGCTGTGTTGGGTAAAGAAAAATACCTTATATGAAATATTAAACACTGTTTTTACAATTGGTGGAAAGACATTGGCCACCAAACATAATGTATGTTTTGAAGTAACTGAGTTTTGGATGTAACTTTAGATTTGTTTGTATTGTAATAGAAAACATGAACATCTCCAGTGAGGAAACCACAGAAATTGAGATGGAGGACACAACCCTTACATCTGTGACAGTCCCAACCAGTAGGTGTTTATATATCTAGTAACTATTCATTATTTATCTTGATATATAGTTTATAAGCGGTTTTAATCAGTTATCCACATTTTTCCATTACAGCAGAAAATGAAATGGTGTGTAACATCAAACACCTGTCTGCAAATAGAGTGTGCTGGGATTGTCTACCAAGTCATAGGCAATCAGCAAACATAATGTATGTTTTGAAGTAACTGAGTTTTGGATGTAACTTTAGATTTGTTTGTATTGTAATAGAAAACATGAACATCTCCAGTGAGGAAACCACAGAAATTGAGATGGAGGACACAACCCTTACATCTGTGACAGTCCCAACCAGTAGATGTTTATATATCTAGTAACTATTCATTATTTATCTTGATATATAGTTTATAAGCTGTTTTAATCAGTTATCCACATTTTTCCATTACAGCAGAAAATGAAGTGGTGTGTAACATCAAACACCTGTCTGCAAATAGAGTGTGCTGGGATTGTCTACCAAGTCATAGGCAATCAGTTTTCAATTTTATGTTTTGTTTAATGTCTTAATACAACACCATGTGCCTCATAAATAAAAATGAATAAAGTTATTGTTATATCTCTTTAAGCTTGCCTGGGCCTTGAGAATAGAGAACCCAGATGAGACAATTGCTGAAGTTGACAACATTGTCCTGAAAAGAAAATATTTTTGGACGCTGGGTCTCAATGAGCAGTTGGAGGCAACAGTGAGTTGAAAAATATTAACTTTGAAACAAATGTCATTGACTGTTTAACTGTAACAGTTTTATTTAAAACATTTGTAGATTGCAAACAGCTGTCTTGAAGTGGTTGCATTGGTGGCTAAAGAACAGGTAAGTTTTATTAAAGCTGCTTTTCTGAAATGGCTCAAGACATAATTGTGTAACTTGTGCACACTTGTGCAATGGTATGTCATTGTAGGGAATGGATGTGTGGACAGCTGACGCATATGTTGTGGCTACCTGGTTACCTCCAAATAATTTGGACCCATCACTGTCTTTTCCAGTAAGGCCATAAAGTTACATCACATTCATAATACTGAAAATGTAATTTAAATCTGACTTAAAAAAAACTTTTTATTAAAAAAAATGTATTTTAAAATTATCTATAGGATCACATTGCATTCAAAGATGCTATTGTCTTTCCTGCTTGGAAGCCAGGACACTGGATGTTGTGTGTAAGTTATATGGAATTTGGTTACTAAATATATAATTGCATCTGTAAATTGCCTTCATTTGTCTTGTCACAATTCATTGCACTATTGAAACCTAATAGCACACTGTTTTCCAGGTAATGAAGCCAAAAGATAGACACATCTACTTCTTAGATTCAACCAATCCCTATGGGTTGGGTGATGAGTGCTATGTGCACATTTTCAGGTTGCTTAAATGTGAAAATGTTCATGGTTCGCTGTTCATAAGGTTTGCCTTCAAATGTTCAAAATGTTGGCTTAATGGTTATTTGGATGTTTGCATGATGTTCTGAATTTGCGTGTGTGTGACAATTGTTTTATTTTCTGAAAGGCCCAGTTACTGGGGGCTACTGTTTTTGCAGATTTTCTTTGTATTCATACTCTTTCATATGAACTTTGTTGTTATTATTTGTGTATTTTTGTTTCAGTAAGATGACAGCTAAAATTGCACCTGGCACATGGATGCTACTAAAAAACAAGGTTAATTTTGTAATTGGGACATATGTCAATCTCTTACACACAGCCTAAATATTTTTCTTTTTCATTTTTTTTTAAGGATGTCCCCCAACAGATTGGCTATGTGGACTGTGGAGTCT